CCAGGCCTGGTCCCTGTTTTTCCCGTGTTCTGAAGTGCCATCAGGCCAAGGCTGTTAACCCAGCAGAGCCAGCAGCGAGAGCCGTGTCACGTCTTTCCTCTGCTCGTGTGTGAGAGGAAGAGAAAACCACTGCGTCTTGCATCAGCCAAAAAGGGAAGGTTGGTTGTCATCTACTCCCCAAACTGTCCCCTCCCTTGGCTCACTGCAGGCAGGGCTGACCAGAAATGTTTTGACAAGCCCTGACAAGGTAAGTGGGGCTCTACATGGTCACACTTTCCTGCTGTCTGCAGATTCAAGGCATCAGGTTTTTTCTGGATGTTCTTTTTCAATTTTTATTTTGCAAATAGCAGGTACAGGAAATGATGCCACAAGCAAAAAAAAAAAAAAAAACGTTCACTGAGAAGATGAAGTAACTCTGTAATTTGTAGATCTGGGATCTAGGCAGAGATCATTTATAATTTCCATGTCTGTGCAGAGTCTTTGTGGTACATGGAGATGCAAAAGAAAGGAGATGGGGGTGCTTCACCTGTACAGGAACAAACCTGGCTCTTCTAACAACCAGGTAATCTCTAAATCTGTTTGTTCAGAAGCAGCAGGTCACACCCTGTAGTAAATACTGACAGTGCTGTTCCAGAAAATGAGATGTGAAAGAACAAGATTGTCCTCTATGCATTTTTTCAAATTATAAAAAGGATATTTTTTAGTTCCAAAATATTCCTGAATGTGCATTCTTAGAACAGTTAGAACTATTAAAACTTCAGTTTTCTAATAATGTTTCTTCTCTGTTTCTGGGTCAGCTAACTTCAGTGGTCAACTTCTTCAGCTTCTGGGATTGACCACTGTAAGTGCAATCATCAAACTTTCTTTTAGGAGCCTTCCCAGGTAAAAAGTGCTAAAAGAATGCAGCCAAATATATCACCAGCCACAGGTTACAGTAAAGTAGTCCTGTAGAGCTGTGACTTGTAAGTATTTCCTAGAACAGTACTCCTGGGACTCCTGACAGCTACGCTGAAAATGAAAGCTTTCCGTATTCAGTTCAAGATCAGAGAAATAACTCGAAAGACAAACATTTTAATTCATTTTAAGGCTTGTCTGTCAAACAGGGGCTGAGCAATCAAAGGCTGACAGCTTCCTGTCCTAGGGCAAGTTGTCTCACCTCGCTGAGGTGGCTGCAGTCCAGGTTCTTCTGGCTCTGACTCCACTGCAAACATCTGTCCTGGCAGCAGTTCATCCTGGTCGGTGTCTGCGTGTACCTGACAGGAGGTAAATGTTCTCACACTTGGTGGCACAAAGTGAGACCTACTTAGAGGAAACTTTAGAGTTTCTTCATAGGTTTTCAAGGTTCTTACGCTTGGGGGAAAAAAAAAAAGAAAACAAAACCCAACCCAAACCAAAACTGAAAACAAACAGGTTTTCAAGGTTCTTACTCTTGGGAGAAAAAAAAAAAGAAAACAAAAGCCAACCCAAACCAAAACTGAAAACAAAACTCTCCTGACTGCGTCTGGACACATTCTCTGAAATTTTATCTTGTACTAATCTCCAGTTCAAACAGGGAAGTGTAAATCATTCGAGGTAAAACAGCTGACAGTACATTTCATATCTAAAATGTAGCAGTCTTTCTGCAGGAAAGGTGATCAACAGCCATGCTGAGCACACAGGCCAACTGCATGATGTGGATGGAAGCAAAAGCATCTAAAACCATTTAATTCAATTTTTAATGCTAGCGAATCTCAGTATAAAACAGTTCCTGTGAGCCAGCTGCTGTTACTACTACATGGGCTATCAGCTTCTACTGGCTGGGCTCTAATTCCTAGAAATTGCTTTATGCCAAAGTCATTACTGCCTAATTAGAGCCCACAAGAAACAAGGGGATGAGCCAGGGAAGTTCCATGGCATTGTGGGCACAGTTGCAGTTGACAGACTGCTGCCAGACGCAGGGAGCGCAGCGGTTGGTTGGTCAGGCTTGTACAAAAATGCTTTTGTGGCTGCCTTTAAGGGCTGGGAATTTATTGGCAGTTATTTCACCCATGGATCACCAGGTTCTCATTCAGAACCAAGACTGCAGAGTTTTCCTTTGCCCTTCCTTATTTCTTTTGTTTCACAGGAGGGCTGAGTTCACTCTAGAGATCTGGTTTGGGAGGGAAAGTCCTGATTTTTGGTGAAAAAATAAAGCTGTGAGAATCAAGTCATTTAACTATGCAACATTGTCTAAATTTAGAAAAAAAAATCATTAGAATGCAAAAAGACTAATATTACAAGGTCCATAATTTATTTTTCTGATCTGTTACTTATATTGGCAGTTATTTCACCCATGGATCACCAGGTTCTCATTCAGAACCAAGACTGCAGAGTTTTCCTTTGCCCTTCCTTATTTCTTTTGTTTCACAGGAGGGCTGAGTTCACTCTAGAGATCTGGTTTGGGAGGGAAAGTCCTGATTTTTGGTGAAAAAATAAAGCTGTGAGAATCAAGTCATTTAACTATGCAACTCTGTCTAAATTTTAAAAAAAATCATTAGAATGTAAAAGACAGACTAATATTGCAAGGTCCATAATTTATTTTTCTGATCTGTTACTTAGGCATCCTGGGAAACAAGTCAAGATAAGGTCCATAATTTATTTTTCTGATCTGTTACTTAGGCATCCTGGGAAACAAGTCAAGATTGGAATTGGGTTTTTTCCCAGCCTTGGACATTAGGAAAAATATATATCCAATATTTGTATTTAAAAAAACCCTATCTGTTTAGCTTTTACTTGATTTTTTTCAAAAGCACTTAATTTCAGTCATTCTATTGCAATGTTTTGTGGGATTTTGGTTTTGGGGGTTTTTTTGTTTGTTTTTTTTTTTTTTTTTTTTTTGTGGAGAAAAACAAAAAGGAAAAAAACCCTATCTGTTTAGCTTTTACTTGATTTTTTTCAAAAGCACTTAATTTCAGTCATTCTATTGCAACATTTTGTGTGATTTTTTTTTTAAATTAGGTGAGCAAAACTAAAGGTATTTGAAAAAATGCTGCTGCAATTTAATTTATACCACACAGAAGAGAAGCTGGATTTAGTTTGAGATTTTGTAAAATGCTTTGCCAATGAACCACATAATGTATTAAGCAGATATATCCATGCATATTAATGAAGGATTGAATACTGAAAGCACAAGAAGCAGGAGAAGGCTCAGGGAAGGGACAATGATCAGGCCAACACACTGCTTGTCATCCTCTGATTCCCACAAAATCCTTCCAGAAAGTTGAATTTTACCTTAATATGGGTGTGTCTGGATTCCACCCTCTGAGGAAAAACCTGCCCTGCTTCTGGATTCCACTTCCTGAGGGGAAACCTGCCCTGCTTCTGGATTCCACTTCCTAAGGGAATGAGTTTTTCTCCTCACAGGCACCTTTATTCTCAAAAAGGGAAATGGGAGAACATCTCAGTTCTGCACTGAGTTTTTCCCCAAAGGAGAATGAAAGAGCATCTTTTCCTCCCATGCTTTTCCCCTCATGGATACCTTTACTCCCGAGATGGGCAATGGAAAGTCATCTCTCTCCCACACTAAGCTTTTCCCTCAAGGCTACTTTTATTCCCCGAGAGGGGAATGGAAGAGCGTCTCCTTCCCACCCTTCTCCCCTCACGGGCATCTTCATTCCACATAAGGGGATTGGAAAAGGATTTTCCTCCCTCCAGTGCTGAGTTTTCCCCTTACCTTTATTCCCCCAGGCCAAAAGGATTTTCCTCCCTCCCGTGCTGAGTTTTCCCCTTAGGGGCACCTTTATTCCCCCAGGGGGAATCGAAGAGCCGCTCCCTCCCTCTCTCCCTCCCGTGCTTTTTACCCCACGGGCACCTTTATTTACCTTTATTCCCCCAGGCACCTTTATTCCCCCAGGGGGAATCAAAGAGCCTCTCCCTTCCTCCCTCTCTCCCTCCCGTGCTTTTTACCCCACGGGCACCTTTATTTTCCTAAAGGAGATGGAGAATATCCCTCCCGTGCCAAGTTTTTTCTCCCACCGGCACCTTTATTCCCTAAGGGGGGAATGGAAGAGCATTTCCCTCCCTCACACGCTTTTCCCCCTTTATTCCCCAAAGGGGAAAGGAAGAGCATCTCCTTCCCGCCCTTCTCCCCTCATGGGCACCTTCATTCCCCAAGAGGTGATTGAAAGAGCCTCTCCTCCCGTGCTTTTTCCTTCCCTCACGGGCACCTTTATTGCCCCAAAAGGTAATGGGAGAGCATCTCCCTCTCTCCCTCAGGTGTTTTTCCCTTTACGGGCCCGTTTATTCCCCTAAGGGAAATGGACAATATCCCTCCTGCGCTGAGTTTTCCCCTCACAGGCACCTTTATTCCCTAGGGAATATTCCCTCCCTCACACGCTTTTCCCCTCACGGGTGCCCTCCCCAAAGGGAAGAGCATCTCCTTCCCGCCCTTTTCCCCACATGGGCACCTTCATTGCACAAGGTGACTGGAAGAGCCTCTCTCTCCCTTTCTCACGTGCTTTTTCCCTTACGGGCACATTTATTCTTCTGGGATGAGTTTTCCCCTCCCGGGCACCTTTATTCCTCAAAGGAGAATGAAAGAGCACCCTCCCCTTCTACACTTTTTGCCTCACGGGCCCGTTTATTCTCCTAAGGGAAATGGAGAATATCCCTCCCGCGCTGAGTTTTCCCCTCACGCGCATCTTTATTCCACAAGAGGGGAATGGAAGAGCACCTCTCTCACGGGCACCTCTGTTCCCCCAAAAGGGGGATTGAAAGAGCATTATCATCCTTCAGGGACACCTTTATTCCCGGAGCGGGGAAGGGACGAGGCTCTCTCCCCTCGCCACAGCGAAGGCTGAGCGGTGCCCGCAGCCGCATCGCGCGCGCGCGCGCCGGGCGCGAGTCCTGCAGCGGTTTCGCCGCGGCCCCGCCCCTTTCCAATCGCGCCGCCATCCCCGAGCGGCGGCGGAGGGATACCCGGCTCGGGGCGGCGGAGGGATCCTCACGCAGGAGCGGGCGGCCGGGCAGGGAGGGCGGGAGGCAGGCAGGGAGGGAAGGAGGACGAGGACGAGGCGAGCGATGCGGCGCGGCCGCGCTGGCTGAGGCGAGGTGGCCCCGCAGTTCGGGAGGACGGGGGTGGGGAACGGAGCGGAGCTGGTGCCGCGGGAGCGGTGGCGGAGCGGCAGGAGAACAGCTGGGGAGGGGTCGGGGGGCGCTCCGGCAGCGGCGAGGGGAGAGCGGAGCCTGAGGGGAGCGGCCAGCGCGGGGGAAGGGCGAGGCTGCGGGGCCGGGAGGCGTGTGCCGGTCCTGCCGCTCTCTGGCGTCGTAGTTCAGTGGAAAAGGGAAGGGATAGAAAAGGGAACTGATTTAAAATAGCCCCCGATCCCTCCGGGGGCCGGTTCCCTGTCGGTGCCATTGCGGGGGGGCAGCGGGGCTCTGGTGCAGCCGCAGCCCGGGGCTGCGAGAGGGGCGGGGGTCGCTGCCCTCGCTGCTCCCCTCGCCCGGGCTTGGGGCTTTTTTTGTGGGGAAGGGGCAGGATGAGCTTGCGGAGTTTCGCTGGAATTTCTCCTTCCTTTCTGAGGCGCTGCCGCTGCTGAAGCAGATTTTTCCTTCCTCTCTTTTTTTTTTTTTTTTTTTTGTCTGATGCAGAATCCCAGTAGCTAGGCAGCCTCCCTCTTTTCTTTCCTTCCTTCCTTCCACCCCTTCGCTATGTAGGAAGGGAGAGGCATCAATGGAAAGGCTGAAATACGCGTAGATGGACTTTCGGATGCATTTTTTCTTGAAAGAGGACGATAAATCCCGCTTGCCAGTGCACTGACTTTTGTTGGTGTTGCATCGCTTGGTAAAAATGGGGTTCACTCACTCCAGCTGAATCCTTGGAGCATTCCAGAGAGTTGCTGCAGTGAAGGACTTATCTTTATTTTTTGCATCAGAGGAGCTGCATTGATGTTAACCATTTTTTTGTAAAATGGAGAACGAGATCTTCACACCCCTTCTGGAGCAGTTCATGTCGAGCCCTCTTGTCACCTGGGTAAGCGTTCATTTTCCCCTCACACGTTCCTGGTGTTATTTGCTCATTGTTTGAGAAGAGCCTTGCGGCAGGGCAGCGAGGTGGACTCGGTGTCACGGAGCTGCTGCTGGTTCTGTTCCAGGTGAAGACGTTCGGACCGCTGGCTGGAGGAAATGGGACCAACCTGGAGGAATATGTGGCGCTGGTGGATGGAGTGTATCTGAACGAAGTCATGCTGCAAATGTGAGTGTGGGCAAGCGCTGCCTTGGGGTAATTTTTTGCTGGTTTGTTTCTCTTGTATGTTTTTGCTGCCTTCTGAAAAATCCTTTCCCCCATCTCCCCTTATTGACCTTGGTAAATTACTTTCATTTGTGCGTGACCCGGTCATGTGGTGACTTAAGAGGAGACTTGGGATCGTGGCAGATCCCGACTCCACACAGCTGAATGTCCCAGCAATGTATTTGCAGGATGTATAGTGTGATACAGGCTGAATCATCATTGTAGAATTTACTGGAAAACGGGATGACTGTAAATAGTTTCCCAGATTTCCACTGAGAGGCATAAAAAAGGTTCATCCTGCTGTAAGTCGTGCTCATAAAGAAAATTTTTAATAAATTCGCTTGGCTAATGAGGTTCTAATCCATATCTTGGTGCACGTGACGTGCAACTTAAGGATGGCATGCAACTCACACAGGGCTGTTCACTGAGCAAAAGGGCTGCCCTGAAACTCCTTCCTCTTCATTTTCCACACTTCCTAATTAGAGTAGATAGCAGTTGAGCAGTAAAACTGATGCTTTAATTGTGAGTGTAGAGTGTTTTCTGGCTATAGCCAACAGAATAAACGTTTTTACATGGGGTTATAAACTGTTTATTGAAAACTCTGGTTGTCAGAAAAAATCCTTTACAGTGGCTCTCTGTTAATCATAATTTTGACTGGAATGTTGCCCACTACTGTCATGCTGGAGAGTAACACTTGTCAGGTGTCTAGTCATATAATCATAAAGGTGTTACTAGTGCAAAAATTTCTACATACTTTTTTTTTTTTTTTGGTATTTTGAGTCCCTGCAGAGAAATTCATCCATTTTCTGTGTAGGTATGAAAAGCTGTGGGCTTATGGCCGGCTGGGTACATCCATCAGTGTGTGAGCAGCTTGTGTTGGCAGCTGTTCCTCAGGAACACTGCTCAGGGATGGGCATCCTCTTGCTCTGTTTATAGCTTTTATTCATATTTAGTGCTTTAAAAGTTATTACCCTTGGTGTTCAGCTTGTGTAACTAATCTCTGTCAAAAGAGCAACACTTTACCACGTAGAAGTGTGAATTCACAGCCTTTTGAAACCAGTATTTTCTTTGACACCTATTTCTGTACAACTAAGGCTCCCAAATATTCACTTCTAATACTTACTCTGATGTTGAAAAACATGGAAAACTCGGTGGAATGGAACTTTCTGAAGAAAAAAAAAATTCTGAGTGGAATCTGGCACACTTTAATAAGAATTTTAAGTGATGCATTTAGCTGAAGAATAGTATTTTTATTTTATGACTTCTTTCTTTTTTTTCTTGGATTGCACAAAGTAAGTAGATTGTCAGCTGTGGCCACTCATTTGATATGTAGAACTTCTATGGGATAAAAAAGTTTGACAGCTGGAAGGCAAATTTAGCAGTGGAACAAGGTGATTTTGAAGAATATGGCCTTAAACTTTTTTTTTCAGTCAATTTCTTAATATGAGTATAAATGGATGCATGTATGTAAAATGGAAAACTGTGGAGAAGGAACATTCCCATGCCTGAGGCACTGTGTGTTGAATTTGGCTGTGACTTTGTTCATCCTTGACCCCATGCCATGATTACTGTACTTAGGAAGCATTGGGTGTGTGTGTGTAAAAAATACACACTGGAGATGCAAATTTAAAAAAATTATATATTTTGGTATTCAGAACAGTGAAAACTACCTCAAACTGGAGGTGTGTGGAAAAGCATTGGTGTAAAAATAAAATGAATTTTAGAAATATGTCACTGTACTGGAAGGTCTTTTGGGAGCTGAGATGTATCACGGCTGGTTGCTGCTTAGAATTGCCTCTTAGAACTCTGTTCATATTTTGGGAAAGTTCAGTTTGTTTTGGGTTTTGTGCCAGGGTTGAAATAGGGGAAAAATTGTTTCATGTTTCGCAGTGTGGTCGTGTCTGTGGTGAAGTCACTGTGGAAACCTGTGTTAACTTTTAGTCCTGTTCACTTTGAATATCCACCTATTAAGCAAGTGTCTTCATTTGCAAAAGCACTTCCAGGATGGAGCTCTAACTAATCATCAATACACATTATTTCCTGTGTTTTTCCATTTTTATTTCTCTTTTATTTGCCTTTCATTCATTACTACCATATATTAAGGATATGTGGCAGAAAAATTTGTGTCATGTGACTTCAAAAGAGGGGTGATTTTTTTCAGAATGTTGGGCTTGGGGAAGTTTTTTTTGGTTGTTTGGTTTGGTTTTTTTTAAAGCTCAGTGACTTCACTTGAGAACTGGAGGTCTGTGGTTAGGAGCTGTGGCAGTGGGGGCTGTTAGAGGTGCTGTGGTCCTGCTGCATATGGACTTTAATGCCTACTTTTTTCTTGCCAAATGTTGAAAGGACAAATTCTGTGACCATAAAAGTGAGTGTTAATATTGGATTAGGCATGGTTTGTAAACAGTCACACAGTCAAAAAAAAAAAGTGGCTTTGTTAGTTAGAGAAGGTTTTCTGTTCAGTTAGAAAAGAGTTAATCCTGCCCTCCGTCACCTGCAGGTGAGAGTCCAGATTTGGTTCTCCTTGTGCTTGTCTGGACCAACTTTATTTTCTACAATTGTAATGATTCAGACAGGGAGGAGAGCTGTCAGCATTGGAATTGTTGCAGGATGCTGATGGTGCTGAGATTTATCAGCACTGAGTTTATTAGTACCTCATCCACGAGAGAATTCATTGCATTCCTTGTGTGTTTTTTACCTTGGCATGTTTTGGGACATGTGAAAAATTTCCCAGATTCTGTTCAGTGACCAGTTACATCTGAAGGGCTCTTCCTTGCTGGAGATGCTACAGGCCAATTGATATTATTTTTTTAATGTTACTTTTAATTAAGGAGAGTCCCAGTGTTTATAATATTAGCTCCTAACTTGAGAGAATGTCTCTAATTTCCTGTTTAAATTTAGGTCCCATGCTTCAGAAGTATCCAGTTACTTACCTTCTGCTGGGATCAGTCAGTATCTGATACTTGTGGATAGAAACCCATCTGTCTTTCTAAATCTGAGCCTTTATCTTTGTGCTCTTTGATACAAAAAAGGGGTCATGCATCTTGGAAATAAATCAGAGCATGAGGGATCACTGCACTGGTGTTCTGCCATGGCAGGGAGGTGGAGGAACGTGCCAGGAATGCTTCATACCTTCACTGCACCTCTGTGTCATAGTGCTTCTAACATTTTATTTATAAAGTGCTCATAGGCTTGAGTAGAATCTGCTGTGTTTGGTACTGAAATCAGTGAACCACTATCTTTCAGTGGATTAGTCACCTGTTGCACACCCAATTACAATTGCAGTAAAATAATACTCAGTTGTCCTGGAGATATTTTTCCAGAACCTGATTAACATCACCTCAGGTTTTTTTCATAGCCTCAGCACTGTACTGTTTATAAACTCCTCTGATCCAAAAAAACCTGCAGTATTTTTACAGAAACACTCACTTTCTGCGTGGTGTTTATTTCCATTTTTGATAGGTCTTGTTCTCTGATACTTGTTAACTGAATTCCAATAGGATTGGGTAAGAAACGTGAAAGTCTTTCAGTATGAGCTGTGGTTCCCAAACTGACAAGAGTCTTGCTGGTTCCTTTGAATAAAAAGAGACAGCTGCAAGTAGTTACAAGATTGGGGCTTTCATTACATTTACCACCACCATTAATATTTGGTCAAGCAACAAAGACTTGAAACAGTATTTTAGCTTTAATTGTTTTATTTTACTGTGCTTTGTATTTATGGAAATAAATCTGGTTTAAAAGAAATATTGGACCCAGACTGTATGCAGAGTTGGTAATGGACAGAACCAAACTCTGGAACTGAGTTAACTTAATCCACTGTCTGGAAAACCTGGCTGCTTTCATCCTGCTGTGCCTTTTATAACTTTGGTCTTAATTACATGAATTAAGTGATACTTTCCATATCAGTCTTTGCATCCAGACATGCTGAAAACTACTTCAAGGATGAAGTCTTTCATGCTTCTCCTGGGTTTTTCCCCTTTTACCATTCTCCCACTGTTTTTCACTGCCTGAATCCACATGCAGGCCTTTGACACCATCAGATTTTCCAGGTGGACTGGCTGCCTGTTTCCTCCTGCCACGCTGGTGCTGTGTGCCTAGAATGTGGACAGCTTCCTTGGCTCCCGTTTGCAGCTCTCAGCCTTCACTTGTGCGCTTTTTTCCGAGCGCTTCAGCTTGCCAGCCCATACTTCTGGCTTGCCTATATCTCCCCCTGAAAACTGGACTCAGTCTCCAGTGCTGGAGCCAGCTGCTCTGTGAAAGGGTGCAGCCACTCAATCCAATTAACTCCTTCTTGGGAAGACCAAGGAGGGAGAGGCAGCTTCAGCCAGGCCCTGGCTGGGTGGGGAAATGGAAAAGAGTTTTGAGGAAAAGGGAATCGGCGACTTTGGCAGCAGAAGTAGGAATGTGTATTTTAGAAAAAGGTCAGATATTATTAAGTCCCACCTTTATCATTTCGTGGTGTAGATTCACACTTCCCAGATGTGCTCTGTCAGGTTTTCCACAGGTGCAAGGTGTCACTTGGACTTTGTGAGAGGTTTTGCTCCCAAGAGTAGTTCTGCAGCAGCAGGGCTGACATTTTTCTTCAGGAAAGCTGAATTTGTAACAGTCACTTATTGTGTAAAAAAGCAAATTCTTCAATAAGTGGTCCAGCACAATGTGTGTCAAGACTGTGAAATTAAACCCTTTTGGTTAGAGAAGAGGAAAGTGTAGTTCTTAGTGTAATGATGAATGATTTTAGATGGGACCATCAGCCTGCAGTGAGCTCTCAATTGGGCAGGTGAGGGGGAGACAGGCTGATACCTGCACCTGTGAGGTGCTTGGGCTTTTCATAGATAGGGAGGAAAATGCATGGGTTGAACATGGACTGCTTGAAGTGGTTATCTTGGCTTTTCTCTGTTTTACTGGTTTTGTTGCACTTTTGTACCCTTCTCCACAGCTGATGTCCACTTTCCTTCATCCTGGCTACC